GCTTCCGCTGTGATAAGTTGTGTTTTGTGTTGCGTTTACATTTAGTTTTAGTTCATTTATTTTTATAACCATGGATCGGAAGAAAGTTTGTTAAAAGTCAAGTGCTAAGAAAAATATGATGAATATTTAATTAAAACGTGAAATTATAGAAAAACATGAGCAAGGTGTTCGAGTTGTTGACTTGTCGAGGTAGTACGTCCATGATATGCTTTGTGCTTAAACGGAAGGAGTCGATAAAGAGTGTAACGCCGCCTAAAAATGTAGCGAAAAAGGCAAAGACCAGTGAGGATATCTAATTTATTTCTTTACATTCTCTTTTTGTTTTTGTGCAATAAATATTTGATATTTATAAATACGTTTTTATTATTTAAAACCACGTAACAAAAATAAGTGGGGTGACATTTTGGAGGTTGGAACGGATTAATGGTAGTTCAATTGTTTTGTATGGGGAAATTTGCTTCAAGATACGAGTAATTCAAGATACGAGCAGGGTTGCGGAACGAATTAAACTCGTATGTCGAGGTACCACTGTATATGCCTTTTTATTATCTAAATATTTAAATATGAATTGCTCTATATTCAGAACAATAGTACAATTGGAAAAGGATTGTAATGTGTAAAATGGTATTTTCTGGTGAGGAGATGAGGACTGGAAGGCCGTCCCTCGTCAACTGTATAAGTAATGCCGTTTGCTGACCTAAATGGACAAAAATTGAGGAAGTATCATATCTTGAGTGTCGCTAGTTATCTATCTTTTTTTAAAGAAGACGGAGGCGATTTTGTTCACACTTTGTAATCTCGTGTGTCTTCAATAAAGGTCACTATGATATTTCTTTCAGAGTTATTGTCTCTCAATCCCGATATACTTGCTAAATACTACAACTTCCTTGAGTTTTGTTCACGAGTTTTCATAGTGAATAAAGAAACGCTATCGAAATTTACGAAAGCGATGGTATCATCAAAATCTTGGTGACGATGGATTCGGGGGAAAATATTCGCTGTGTGAAGATAAAAGTGAATTGAAAAGGTCTTAATCGGAAACTGCCTGATGGTCGACCATTGAAGAATGGCATCAAGCCGCCGGACAAATTGAAATGTCAACAGACCCAGTGAGTCGCAAAGTGAAACAATTCGGCTTTGTGGCGATGGGAGGAAGTGAAACGGCACAATGGCCTTTGTGGGGAGTGGACTTCCTTCCTGCCGGGCCATCTCTGCTGAATGCCAGATGTGAGGGACAGCCTGTGTTCTCATTGAGGAGTTGACACGGCCAGCTGTATCTTCTGAATTCCGAATACACACACATGCATATTCATTAAGACCACCGGTCTTATACAGATTCACCACAGGAAAAAAGCATAGATGGAACTCCTATACTTCAGGCTGCGCAGAACCCAACAGCCTCCAGGTCCGACGCAATGTCAAGTGGCAACAAAATCCACCGTGCATAAGTTAACGTATCACTGAAAAGGCGAGTATGGAATCAGCCGCGTTTAGTCTTCGCTTTCCTCATACAAATGGACCACGACATTCGGAGATTCTATTAATCTCCTCCGAACGGAGACTGTGGCCTTGTAGAATTTATATAATGAATTCCGAATATTTTTCACGCTGGGGCATCTTGTCTTCTGGATAAGGAGAATTCGCATATTAATCTTCGCAGACGCCTGAAGATGACGGATATTCTGAAAAGGTTGAAGACAATTGAGGTTGCTACAGCTAGAAGGTAGATATGGACACAGTTTGTGCTGAATGTGTTGGGATTTAGGACATAAACAAAGATGACGTCTTCTGGATAAGGATAATTGGAATAGTAATCTTCGCAGACGCCTGGGTATGACGGATATTCTGGAAAGGTTGAAGAAAATTTGAGGTGACTACAGTTAAGGAGTAGATATGGACACAGTTTGTGATGAATGTGTTGGGACATAAAAAAAGACGTGACTACAGCATATGTTGTTGAAGATGCTGGACACGATGAGACGACTGTGCAAAGGGAAGCTACCATTGCACTGGTGTTAAATAGAACCTGTAAATTTGTGCAGTGTATGGACATGGTCATGGTTCAGAGGTAGTTTGTGAAGTTTCAATACTGTGATTTCAGACTTGAAGACGAAGTGTGATTCGAGCGTTCCTCCAACGTCAAGGAGGATGTTTATTGCTACAAGAACTGTCAAGAAGATCAAATATATTCAAAAATCAAGGTGCATGATCATCTATAGAAGTTTGGCTGCGTGAACTATACAATCTTTAGGTAACGTCAACTTTCATAGATCTTCTCGCTCGGGTCTTAGTTTATGATTCACAGTTGGAACGTAAAAAAGTGTCTTTTCGAAAATGGATGATCACTAGAGAATATAAAGAAGGATCCATTACCACATTGATATGCTGAAACGATCATGAAATACGTTTTGTGAAGCTCCACAAAAATGTCTTTTAAAGGTGGTTTTCACCTGAAGAAAGAGTTACTCTGCATATGGTAGGATGCCAAGGTGTAGCTTATTATGAATTACTGCCACCCAATCAGCCCATCACTTCGGATAAATCATTTCGCATACAAATATATGGGGAATATATGGAAAGAATATGGCTTTACGGGCTACTGACCAAATTAAAATTAGTAGCATATAAACGTAGGTAGAAATATAATGAAGCAAAACTACCAAAACTGGCCATTCGCCGGGGCATTGTGTTCCCTTATGACAATGCCAGGCCCCATGTATCTATGAATCCTGGACTATAGAGGATGTTTTAATCCACTCTCTATACCTCTCTGACCTTTCTTCTTCAGAATTTCATTTGTTTCGATCACTACCAAATTCCCCGAGTAGAGTGGAATCCAACTTTTTCAAGACAGTCAAAGTCCTCCTTGATGACTTCTTCGCTAACAAACCAAGAGTCTTTCACCATTAGAGAATTTTCCAACTTCCCTATAGATAGCATCGAACAATAATCGAACAAAGTGGCTCATACATTGTTCATTAAGGTTTTACACCATTTTCAGAATGTTTTTACGAATTTGTCAATGTAAACTGCGGAAGTTTGGGGATGATCCAATGCATTGAAACAAAAAAGTTCGGTTTTCTCCAACAAAGCTGTATAGAATCCCCCCGTCCAGATAGGTACAGAAGTAGAGCACGTCCATATAGATACAAAGGGACAAACATCCGGGGGAAGTGAAGGGGCGGACTGGACAGGAGGGAGGGGGCCAAGGACGCTGTTCCATTCTTCTAGCCGAGGTGACTGTGGGGCATTGAGGCGAGATTAGATTCAGTTTTATCTACGGGCGTGTTTTATCCACTTTAACCTTGCCTATAGAATACCTTTTCTATTTTATATGTATCTATGATGAATATTTGACTCCTATCTTTTTTATCTTCGTTTATGAATGTTTGAAAAATAGCTCGATCTGGTTCTGTATTGTTCAATGATTTGGATTCAGGGATTCTGTGAGGCATTGAGAAAAGATTAGATTCAGCTTTATCTACGGGCGTGTTTTATCCACTTTAACCTTGCCTATAGAGTACCTTCCATATTTTATATGTATCTCTGATAAAAAAATTACACCTATCTCTTTATCCGTTTTCTAAATGTTTGAAATATACATGGTTGTCCCAAAAGTTCGTAAACACTTGCAAAAAATTGAAATACCAATATTAGTGGCCGTTATGTACAATGTCTTTGTATTAAATATAAAGTAATTGTATTATGTATTATTATAGAAGTATAGGGCGCCTCTCCCGTCAAAATAAACGTCAAAAACTGACGCCATCTATTGACCGTCGCCGCAACTAGCGGCCTCGGGTCGGTGACAAAGCCATGGTCCATAGGTGGACGCTTTTCAGTTTGCCAAAGTTGGTGTTGTGGCTTTGTCACCGACTCGAGGCCGCTAGTTGCGGCGATGGTCAATAGATGGCGTCAGTTTTTGACGTTTATTTTGACGGGAGAGGCGCCCTATGCTTCTATGGATCAATATCCTCCCGGCAAATTTTCCATCTATATGTATTATTATGTATTCGCTGTAATAATATTATTCGCCAAGTAATATAAAAACGTTTAAATAAAAACACGAACTTATGGGACCACCTTATAGCTCGATTTTGTTCTGTATCGTTCAATGATTTGTATAAGCTGGGATTCTGGAGACGGCACATCTATTCCATCTCCAACACATAACAATACTGTATTGACTTTAAAATAGGTTGGTGCAAAGATGATATAACTGATGTTACCTATATCTTTATTATTATAAAGCAATAAAACGCCATCTATATGCAGAAAATGGAAACATTTAGACGCGAATGTTTCTTTCACACATATATAAAACTTCTACTCTCCTTATTGCGGTGAAAAAATATTGGGAGGGCTTGGTTCATCAGTGGTGAAACCTCCCAGCCATTTCACCAATTCAATCTACCAGACCGCTTCTTAGAGCTCTAATTCTGTATTGGATGATTCTCCTTTTATATGCTACACTGAAGGGTGAAATCTTAGATATGGTATTCAGGCAAACTATGGACTAAGCTTCTTTTAGAACAGCAGAATTTTTTACATATAAATATTCAAATTGAGCAATGATCTTATGCAAAAAATAAAGAAAAAAAACATTCTGGTTGAATACTTTAATTTTTTATATGAAAAATAAACAAAAGACGCTAAGTCAAGCCCGGCTAGCTCAGTCGGTAGAGCATGAGACTCTTAATCTCAGGGTCGTGGGTTCGAGCCCCACGTTGGGCGTTTTTTTTTTTTACTCATCTACTTTTTTTTTCAAATTGGCGTTGGAAACATATAGGAAGAAAAATTCATATCTTGATCCTGAATTTATACATAGAGAGGTTATATTTACTCCGACAGATGGCGCAAGCCATTGCAAGATCAGGATATGCTTTTTTTCCTATAACGTAACAACTTGATCCCAGGACAATTTCGCATTTATACTATTGTTCTTGAATGTTTTCAACGTCAACGTGAAAAAAATTTGATAAATAATAATAATAAAAAAACGCCCAAAGTAGGGCTCAAACCCACGACACTGAGATTAAGAGTCTCATGCTCTACCGACTGAGCTACCATCTGTCGGAATAAATATAATCTCTCTCTCTCTCTCTCTATTAACATATATAGTCACGACCGTCTTTCCTCATCGGCCTCTGTCACGGATGAAATTTAAAAATTAAAAAAAGATGCCGAAACCTGGGATCGAACCAGGGACCTTTAGATATTCAGTCTAACGCTCTCCTAACTGAGCTATTTCGGCTTATTTTATTTATTTCTATAGAAGCTTCTATCTTTATAATTATGTATATTTCAAAAAGTCAATTCACACCTCTTTGCTGGAGACCATTTGGTACATAAGGTACAATTTGGATTATCTATATATATATAAAAATAAATGTTTGTATGTTTGTTTGTATATGTCCGGTATACAAATTCGCAGTAGTTCACTAATTCAAACCAAAATTTCCATACATAGTTAAAAAAATACGGGGAAGACGATTGGCTATTTTAAAAATATATAAATCAATTATTAAAACTATATATCTTTAGTCAGAAAATGATGATGACGATATTGCTGTATCATGTTTGATTATCAGATACAAAATTATATCGGGAAAAACTCCAAAAAGCAGAGACCACGGGTGAAACCAGTTCATTATTTTGTACGCAGGAACAAAATTCTAACAGAAAAACATTCATTCGAGCAGAAACCAAAAGCCAGATCATCTTTCTATAAAAATATCGCTTCTCAGACACCAAAGTTTGGAGCGGGACGTTTCACAAGAGTGACATCCACGGCGCCAATTTATAATTGTAGCGAATAGTATTTGAATAAAAGCGTTTAATCGGGTAAACCCCGGGCGTTGCCCGGGTCATTCGGCTAGTATATATATAAATGCGGGCAGAATTGTCTCAAATCTTCGATACGCGGATAATACTGTCTTGCTTGCAATGCGCGAGTCCCAAAACAATCAATATCCAAATTTGTTTACATCAGGTGTGCCTACAGCAAAATTCGCTTCTCGGCCTTTTGGCTACGATCAAAATGTACAGCAAAATCAGTATAAATCCCTCTTAATGGCCAGTACCAGATATACTTGAGATAATTCAAAGAATAATCCCTTGTATCAATATTGAGTAAGAATATCAGGCCTACAGGGAAAATTATATTTCCGAAAAACCTTTTAATCTCTAGCTTTGTAGCAAAACGCCCTTCTATCATGGTCCAATGTTTTCTCCTGTAGAAGGGCGTTCGTGCCCGAAAGTTGGAGATTAAAGTTTTTTTTATTTACTTTTACCTGGAGGCCTGATATATTTACTCAATATTACTCAAAACTTTAATCTCTAGCTTTAGGGCACAAACGCCCTTCTATCATTATACCATGTTTTCTCCTGTAGATGGGCGTTCGGGGCGTTCGTTTTAAGTTTTTTTTTGAAAATATACTTTCCCCCCCCCCCCCCCCTGGAGGCCTGATATTTTTACTCAATACTTGAGCTAAGTTAAAAAAAATCTACTTTCATTTTCTCTAAAACCTTTCAATCAACACTTAGCTAACTTGCAAAATAAAATCCTCTGCGATATATAAAAATATTAACAAAATGGCTTCCGAGGATTATTTCAAGCATTCGGGTATTTTAAACTCTTCTACAGGAATCTATAATGTTAACCATTTGTCATAGACTCCTATAGAAGGGTTTATGAAACCCGAAGGTTTGAGATAATATAAAATAAAGCATGAAAATTATTCTCTGAAGTCGTTTTTCAAATTTATTAATCAACCTGGCGCTATATTGAAATATTTGCCTCTATTACAGAGGAAACAAACAAAACAACAAACATATTAGAACTTCTTTAAATATTTGTAAATTTACATGTATTATTCGACAGAGTTCATAAAATTTATAAAGACAAAGTGACTGATGTAAGAGAGTTAAATCATCGATGAGAACAATCGATGTCTCACTTCTGTAAAGTTCGGACAGTGGAAGATAAGGTGAAAAGTAGTTTGTTCAGTTTCTCCGCAGGAACAATTTGGTGTTTCTGATAGACCTTTTTTATGAAAGTATTTCTGGAATTATCCGTGTGATGTGACTATAAAAAGCAGTTTTGTTTGATTATTCATAGCTAATTTGACTTAATATATTTCTCGGAAAGTTTTCCATTCGACGTTCAATCTGGCAAGTAATCAATCAGCCCAGCCCTTGCTTCCAGGCACTTGGAGAAAGACGTTGCTTGCGTGCAGGCAACCCGGCCGTGAAGTAGCGGCCTTGTCTTCTCCATTCAATCCCCGCTATAAATAATTCCAATAAATCGTCACCTCAATCTGTCTGACGGGAAAGTACCGCGTCTGGCAACTTTCCTTGTTGCAGCTCTACAGTTCAATTTTGTAGGCCACTTTCACTCTTCCTGCACACCCTGGTTTATCCTTTTCATAAAAGAGGTGAATAACAAGTATTAATGTAGAGTAAACCCCCTTCTATATACAGTAAAACCTCTCTTTAGCGGACACCTCTCCACAAAGGACAGTTTTCATTTGCAAAATTACCAATTTTACTATTTAGCAACTCTCCGATAAAAGGACACCTCTCCCTAAAGGACATTTTGACTCTGCAATTAGGTGTCTTTTACAGGGAGGTTCTACTGTATATATATTATTGAATAAAATATTTAAAAATATTTATATAGTAGAACTTCCATAAGAGAACACTTACGCTAGAGGACGCCTCTCCTCAAAGGACAGTTTTGATTTGCAAAATTACCATTTTTACTATTTAGCAACTCTCCAGTAAGAGGACACCTGTCCCTAAAGGACACTTTGGCTCTGCAACTAGGTTTCTTTTACAGGGAGGTTATACTGTATATATTTATTTTAAATCAAAAGGCAATTGGCAGGAATTTTCCCAGGAATATATGGAATACAAGTTTTTTAAATTTATTATTATTATAAAAATATTTTAAAATTGGTTGAATTTATATAACATCATATGATATTTTGAACATAATTTGTTGGTTGAAAGTTTTTTTTTTGAAGAAAGATACTTGTTACTTAATTTCTGACGTCTCAGTGACTCGCTTTCATTCTCTTCAGGGAGATGAGGAGAGTGACAGAAATTCACTGAAATGTCGGGAATTGAATAAGAATTTGGTTGATGCAGCTATAGCATATTGTTGCGTCGTACCCAGACGCTATTCGTGTACTTTGTCACAAAGATACACACGTGAGTTTGAAGGGATTGCAGCTAAAGCTAGCGCTTTATTGTATCTCACTTAACAGAAGGAATACACCAGTGGGACTTAACTTCAACTTCCCCGTCAGAAGAATCTTCGGCGCCGTGGATGTCCTCTTGTGAAGCGTTCCGCTCCACACAATACACATGCAGCCTGGCCCACCCCGCCTGTAGTTCGCTCCGATGTCAGTCTCTCCTGGCACCGCCTTGTAGGATCATCCACACGCCCGGAGGCAATCGCCACGTCTTCTCCTTGCCGCAGATGTAACCAGACTCTGTCCTCCCCCACACAGGAATGCAGTTTTTAGCGCCTGCCACATGGCAGAGGGGGCCGCTAGAGTCCACCCCTCTTTCCCCAACTTTACTCTGGTATCTTGGCCTTGTCATCCACGTTACAATATATGTACAGTTGTTCAGATTACTGTAGCTATTCGGTCTTCCCCTGGCCCCTGCGCGAGTAACCCAACTGCCCTCACTGTTCGGAAGATCCATAGACAGTTGATCACCTCCTCTTCAGCGCTGTCCAGAATTCCTAAGACAAAGGATACAAACAGCTATCCTGTTTGGACTGACCCACCTCACCATACTACATGGTTGTCCCAAAAGTTCGTAAACACTTGCAAAAAATTGAAATACCAAAAGTATTCGCCGTTATGTATAATGTTTTTGTATTATATATAAAGTAATTGTATTATGTATTCACCGTAATAATATTATTCGCCAAATAATAAGAAAAACACGTATTTTGGGACAACCTTATATTGCCAGACTCGACATCAGCATGGAACTTCCTGGTCAACTGGTTCTGCTCAGCAATCCACTCTGGACGTGATTAAAAAATGCTTGGCCATAGTCCATACTGGTGAGCTGGACAGTCCGGGTAGTTGGCGTTCTGTGCTCCAGGAACCTTGGTTGAACGTGTTGAAGGTAGATGAATAAGTGTTTGATATTGAACAGTGTGAATCAAGACTTCCAAACCATATGTGCAGATATACCCGAAAAACAGGTATAGAATCACATTTAAAGTTTTTTGAGCATTCTATCAATGATTAGATGTAAAAAGAAGAAATTGCAAGGATATAAAATGATTTGCCAAAACAAAACGATAATAAAGTAAAATAAATGTTAAAATTTGAAGATATAATTTTTCACATATTCGGGGATATTTAGGAATACTTTAAAATTGTATTTAAGAATGTGGGAATATATGAGGAATATTTACAGGGCTTGCTTAATCGATGTTGAACATTTTAGCGGTTGAAACAATTTGACTCCAGACTTCTACTAATATTGTATTGGCTTGGTTAGCTTTTACAGTCGGTAATTGAAATCATGGCATTTTATTTAATCTACAGAGATATTGGTGAAATGAGAACTATAGAAATTTTAAAGAGTTGAAACATTGCTCTTCAGTTGTAAGCCATCCTGATATTTCCCTTCTTTAATGACCATATTTCAATAAGTCTCGATGTAAGTGAAAAGAGTCAATTTGCGAAGACGCCAACATTATTCACAATCCTGTATAAATTGCAGAGGTAATCATAGAGAGAGAGAGTTTCTTGTCAAAATATTTAAATTTATTTTTACCGTAGATAAAGAGTAAATGTACGTACGTCGTGCTGCCATCAACCCAAATCTCACGACTTCAGCCAATACATTAGTCGTTTATTGAGAACTCTTGGTCTTCTTAGGCCAGCTCAGACAATCCCGGCAGCGATGGTATACCAATGAATAGGCACTAGACTGACCATCTACAAGAAACATAAGCCTATAAGAGAATCGTCCAAAGATAAAAGAAAGATGAAACAATTTACGGTAAGAAAATTTAGAAAAGGGGGGAAATAATGCATAT